GGACAGTGATGGACAAGGTCCCAGTGGTGGTCAAGCACCCAATCCCTTCCTTACCCTGGCCTCTGGGGCCACCCTAGTGCCCTGACAGGTGGGAGAATCGAGGCACAGCTTTGGGCACCCTGCAGATGATTAGTGAGAGTGCTGAATGAATGAATGAAAGAATGAATGAAATCCAGGGAAGCGGGGGTGGGGGCAGCACAGGTGGGGCTCTGGGGTCAGGAGGGATGCTCCCACAAGCCCCTGGGAGCCCTCCCTTCCCGTTTCTTTGCTCAGCCTGGCCAGCTGTGACCACCCACCCCCCTTGCCCTCAGGGTCTCAGTTTTCCCATCTGTACAATGGCTCCCTGCAGGGTGGGACTTCAAAGCCCATCCAGGCTCTGAACTCTCCCCTCCCCGGGTCAGGGGGTAGTTTCTCCGTCCCTCAGCCCCTGCGCTGCCTGCCTGGCTGGGGAGTGAGGACACTCCGGCACTGTCCAGCTCCGGAAGGCCGGGGAAAGCTCTTGGGGGACTCACCGCACCTTCGCCTACTCCGGCGGCTTGAGGCAGAGCCGGCACAGCCTAAGCCTGGACGACCTCCCGGGGCAGCTCTGTGGGCCACTCATCCGGCAGCCCGACCCGCCTTCCTGGGGCCTGACGTCAGGCCTGCTCTGGGGCTCCTTTTGGGCAAAGGCGGAGGGGTGGGGGCGGGGTGGGGGCGGGCTCCTTCCCTGGCTGGCCGGCCCCCTGGAGGAGCCTGATTCCGGGGCCCTGGGGGAGGGAGCCTAGGGGCAGCAGAGTTTGCGGCTCAGGCCGGGCCAGACAGAGGAGGAAACTGAGGCACAGGGGGCGGAGCCAGTGGCACTGCCCAGGTTGGGGGGGGTGAAGAGTGGAGAGGGAGGGCTCTGGCTCGCTGTCCCCCTAGCGTCTTGTCTTGTCTGCGGGAGGCTGCAGGGCCCCTGAGAGCGGTTGGCGCTCACGCGTGCTGTGGGAGGGGGAAGCAGCGCACAGGGACCCAGTCTTCTGTCGGGAGGGACAAATGCAGGCTGGCTATGTCTGCCCACGGTGGCCCCCTCGGTCCCCAAGTGCTGTCTGGGTTTTCTGTGTTTTGCATGTTCTGAGCCTGGGTGTGTCTGTGTGTGTGCCCGTGACCTAGAGCTGCATTCTCGGTATCTGGGCCTCTGTTTGTGCCCCCTCATGAGTGTCCCTGGGGCACACGCACGCCTGAGTGTGTCTGTGGGGTCAGCACCAGCCCGGGGCCCATCCGGGCCCTGGTGTGACCCCTGTGAGTGCTAGCGACTCCGTGGGGTCACGTGGGGTTGGGTGTGTGGGAGAGACCTGGATGTGACCAGGGCTGGTGGGGAGGGGGCTGCGGGTCTTAAATCTCGGTAGTGGGGCCTGATCTGGGAGTGGTGGCTGGGAGGGACATCCCTCCCCAGACAGACAGCCTGCCCAGCGTAGTGGCTTGTAGGCAGCCTGGGCCAGTCTGGTTTCAGCGTCTGAGGGTGGCCGAGGTGGGGAGCAGGGAGGGCTCAGGGTCAGGTCTTTGCTGTCTCCTCTGCCAGAATGCCCTCTCTGGTCTCCTGTCCCTGAGCTGCTCCTCATTCCTGCAATGGAATCACCCAGCACCTTCCACCCAGCACTACTGAGCCAGCCCACGCTGGGCACTGGGAACAGGGATGCTGCCCGAGACAAGGCCGCTGGCCCCCGAGATCTCAGTCTGGCGAGGGACACCGTTGCAACCAGCAGCCGGCTGGGGAGGGGCGGCACAGGAGGTGGGCATAGGCAGCCCGGCCGGGCGGAGGGAGGCCAGAGGGATGGGAGGCCATCTGGTCTGTGGGAATGGCATGTCGGGTCCCCAAGAGTGGGGGGCAGGAATAAGCGGTGAAGTTGGAGTGATCAGAGCCCTTCCACACTGGGTCTTAGCTGCCCCGTGGGAACCAGAGTGGTAGACCTGACCCTGAGGGCAGTGGGGAGCCACTGAAGATTCTGGGGGAGAGTGGTCCCTGGAGCAGCTTTCTGGCTAATACAGGGCCGAACCCGTAGGCTCCCATCGACTGTCTCCTTCGAATACTGTGCTGTCTGTCTCAGAAGGGGAAACCGAGATCTTGCTGAGGGAGTGTCGACTCAGTGTTGTTTCTGTACAGGGCAGCCTGGAGGCGGCCAGGATGTGGGCGGGGGCCGGAGGGCTGAGCCAGTGGAGGCTCAAATTTTATGAGCTGGAGACTGCCGCTGAGTCACGGGCAGGGCCAGCCAGGCACACACAGGCTGGTTCCCAGAGAAATCCTGGGGAGATGTTCGAGGACAAAATGAATCCTGGTGGACTGCCTGGGGAGCAGGGTGACAGCCTGGGGCGGCTTCCAGAACCCCTCCCCCGAGGGAGGCTCCTCTCTGTGGGACCCAGGGGTCCTGGGGGTGGTGGGGGAAGGTGCTGGAGCCCACGAGGCTCGGGGTGGCCCTCCCCTAGCCTGCGGCAGACACAATGTCACCCTGTCACCTCCACAGGCTGGGTCGGGCCAGGCTGTCCGTGGCTGGCGCCCGGCCAGGTGGAGAGCCCTCTGCGAGCCCGCAGAAGCCCCTCACTCTCCGCGGGAGCCGTGGAGCTCTGGCGCGCCGTCCCCAGGACTCACGGTGACCCTTGCTATGCACAGTTCGCCCTGTCACTGTTGGAGTCTGCCCTTCTGAGGGATTCAGCCACAAATAGCAACCGAGCAGCTGAGCGGGGGCTGAAGGGGGGGCAGGGGACACTTGGTGACGGCTGGGCAGGTCCTGTCACTGTCCTGGTGCCTGCAACTCCCCACCTCATTCATCCTCCCGAGTGGTCCTTGTCTTGGTGCCGCTCGACGAGGTAAACCGTGCTGGGGCCCTGGCCACGTGGCCTGCAGCCTGTCAGGGTTGGGGACGCAGGTCGGCTGCCAGGAGGACTCTGCCTGCTGGAAGCAGTACGGGGCGATCCCTGGACATCACCTGGAGAACACAGGTGACAGCAGGGGCTGGGTGTGATAAGGCCCCTCAGGGCCCTCCTAAGGGGTCCATGGTCACGTGTCCCTTCTGTGCTCTGGAGCCCCTGACAGGGGCCAGTCACCCATGGGGAGGGCAGGGTGGGTGGGGCCTTTCTTTTTCTCTGGGAAAGGTGACCTCAAGTGTCCGAGGTGGGGGCGTTGGGAGGTTAGGAATGGGGGAGCCCTTGGGCAGCCCTGGGTTCAAGCCTGGCTGGACCACTCGCTTATGCACTCTGGCCCTCGGTGTCTCCCCAGAAAATGGGGACAACATGGCCCGTGGAAAGGCCCCAGGCCAGGTCCCCCTTGTCTCAGGAAGCCCCTTGTCCTGTGTGCCACAGGGATGCTCACCCCCGGCAGGTGCAGGGAAACAGGCCAGGAGGGGTTGGGGCTCACCAAAAGCCCACAGCTTTAGCCCACAGAGTGGGAGAGCTGGAGACACAAGGCCCCCTGGAGGGGAGCGAGGCTCAGGTGGGACAGAGTTTTCAAAGAGAGGGCGGGGTGGGCTGGGCGATGCTCTGGAAAGGACGGGGCTAGTTTGGGCTGTATAGCTAGACCTTGGCCACAAGCCGCCTCATGGAGAAGCGTCTGGGGCACTTAGCAAGGGCCGAGTGCACAGTTATCTTGGGAATGTACACTCTGAAGCTCTGGGACCGTCCCAGGGGTGACTACCGGGACCACCACCCCTGGGCTTTTACCTCCCAATTCCCTGGACCACTCTCCATGCCCTGTTTTTCATCCAGGAGCCCCTGAGAGCTCATCTTGTCCCACCTTTCATTTTTACAGGGGGAGAAATTAAGTCCAGAGAGGGATAGAGACTTGCCCAAAGCCCCACAGCAAATGGGTCACTGCAGATGCTGGGGGGAACTGGGCCTGGGCTTCCAGGCTGCCCTCAGCAGCCACATGGCAGCCCTAACTCTTAGGCCCATAGGCCACCTGGGAGACCAGGCAGGGTTGTTCGACCTCCCATTAAACTCAATGTCTGGGACCATGAGAGCAGCCTTCCTCATGGGTTCAGTGAGACTGTGGCCCGGGTTCTTGGTGGGCCTAGGGTGGGAAGCAGGGTGGGGTGTTGGTGATGGCAGGGCTCCCGAGGCCCTGCAGAACAAAGGGAAGGGCCCCTAGAGGAATGGCAAGGAGGTACAGAGGTGCTGGGCTCGTCTACGAGAAGGCTGAGGTGGAGCCCCAGATGTCTGAGGGGTGGGTCCAATCCAGGAAGCCTTGCTGTAGGAGGCTCACCCCGCCCCTGCTGGGCACGTGCACAGCAGCCGGCCCCGCTCCAGCCCCTGTATGCGTGCACACGCATGCGTGACACACAGATGTGCACGCACAGATACACATGCACGCCCTGTCCAGCCTTTCGGTTAACATCGAGTCCTCTTGGGAGTGCATGCCAGCCCCTCCCGTGCACCCAGCCGGACCACGGCACTGGGTGGAGGAGACATTTCGGAACAAGAAGAGCTGGCTTGGGTGGCATTGAGTCTTCCCATCCTGGCCTGCCCGAGGGGTGGGAGCTCCTCACTGGTCCCACAGGCCATCCCAGGATTCAGCCCTGGCTCTGCCTGGCTTGACGGTGGAGCCCACCGAGTTGGCCCTACCTTTTACGGGTGAGCAAAACAAGGCCAGGAGTGGGGCTCTGCTTTCCAAACTCAGATGCTGCTTCGGCCCCCTCTGAGCCTCCTCATAGTCTGGGCAGGAGCTCCCCCACCCCTATGGCCTGGCCCCTCATCTGTTACGAGCCAGTTGGGGTGGGGGCGTATATTGATGGTCCCCGGGCCACAGAGCCCATCCAGGACCAGTTCCGGAGCTGCTGGGAGAATGACCAATTTCTCCTGGGGCAGAGAAGACAGTGGGGATAAGGCTGCCGGTTTGGCTGGGGGCTTCCCTTGTGCCTGGACCAGCTCATTTCATCTGCCCCATCCCTGTAGGCAGGGGAGACCCAGCCCCCCCCCCCACCTCCCCTGGGCTCTCCCAGCCCTCCCGAGGACTCAGGATGGGGACTGGGAGCTCTGGGGCTGGATGCGGGTGCTCCCACTGCCTTGGGACCTTCTACACCCCAGGGGCGAGGAGGGGGGCAGAACCTTTGAGTCTGTCCGGTGCAGGGCCCACTGGGGCAACGTGGGCTCCCTCAGGGAGAGATGAAAGGAGGCCTGAGCCCCGCTCTCTCCCCATAGCCTCCTGGGGTCTGGGGACATGGTGAGAGGGCCCTGCTTACCCCCCAGAAAGTCCTGGGCGCCTCGATGCAGCCCGGGGCCGGTTGTGACCCCACTCAGCTGACCCCTGCTGGGCATGACCTGCGGTTTGGAAACAGTGGTCCAGGGGTTGGTTGCTCAGCAGTGGTGGCCGAGGCTTAGCAGTGGACCTGTTTGCCGAGAGGTTGCTGTGCGCCGGGCACCCGCTGTCCCGAAGCATCTCAGGGGTCCACCAAATCACCCCATCCTTGTTGGCCAGAAAGGCCCCGCGAAGTCCCCTGCCCAAGGTCTCAAGCTGGGAGCGGGTGGGGCTAGGCCAGGCCTGCGGAGCCTTTGCTCAGCAGCTTCGGGAACCCACCCCAGGCACAGTGGAGAAGGCACTACGTCCAGGGCAGACAGTGCTTGGTCTGAGGGGTCTTGTAGGTCCAGGCCCCTGTCCTCGGGCAGCTGGATCCCCCAGGTTCTGGAGGCCCAGGGCCAGGCTCCCCAGCTGCCCAGGGCCGGGTGGGGCTGGGGCTCCCTCGGCAGAGCCAGACTGGCCCACCCAGGCCATGAGCTGGCCGCGTCCCCGGCAGGGCCTCAGGACCTGCTTTCTATTTCAGCCCTTCCTGGCCTCTGGACGGCCCCGTGGGACCGGAACTGCTGTGTCTGTGTGTTCAGCAGGCCTCAGTGGGGCAGCCCTGGATGCGCAGGCCCTGCTGAACTTAGCCGCCTTGCTGACCCTGCTGTGTGTGGGAGCAGGGACAGCGAGGGGGTGGTGTCCATGCAGGGATGCTGCAGCCGCCGCCGCCGTGCTTCTCAGACAACCCTGTCCACTACCCTTGCAGGAGGGAGTGAGCTCCCCATCACTGTAAGTGGCCAGAGCAGAGCCCAGGTGGGCACAGCGCAGAGCTGCTGCATGGGCATCGGCCCTGGGTGGGCAGGAGGACTCATGACCTCTGAGGTGTGGGACACAGAGACCCCAGGAGCTAAATGTCACTGGTTCCAAGATTCTGAGACTCCAAACTTCTAAGAGCCTGGGGCCACCAGCTCCACTCCCATCTGCAGAGAGAAAGTCAGACCCTGGGGCAATTTCCTCACTCCCTGGGGAGGTCAAGTCCCTTCTGACTTCCACACCTTTACCCCAACTGTTGTCCACCTTGAAGGCCCTCGCATTTCTTTCTAGATCCAAGTCCACCCTCGCTCAAGGCCGCCTCTTCCCTGAAAACCGCCTACTGACTTCTCTCGGACCAGTATCCTGAGGGCACTATGGGCCTCCACCACTTGCCAAGTCGGCTTCTAACTGGACGTTCAACTCCTCCCCGGCAGGGCCAGAATCTTACTTGTTTCTCCCTCTCTGACGCTCGGCACTTGTGCGGGTATACAGTAGGAACTCAATGAATGCAACTGCTCACTCATTTAAAAAATGGGCAGGTAAGGCAGGGCTTCAGGCTACCATGGCCCCATCACAGGCACTTGGGCCTCTCTCTTGCCGTTACGGAATTCCCCAGAGAGCCTTCCTGGGGGTACATGCCTCTCTTGTGAGCAGGAGGTTCTTCCTAGTGGCTGACCACATTCTCTCCTGCTGCAGCTTTGTCTTCTCTTGCTGGGTTTTAGAGCTGCCCCTCCTGCCCTCTCTTCTGAAGGGCCAGGCGGCCCCCTCGTGGTTGGTGAGGGGCATAGGGTGGGGTGGGATGCCCGGTCAGTATTGCCCTTCTTGTTATCGGTGGAACAAAAGCTAGAGAGGGCAGGGACCCGCGGCCACTCAGCTCACGGGAGGTGGAGCCAGGATTTGAACCCGGCACTGGGGGACCTGAGCCCCCATGTCTCTGCACAGAGCCTCTCCTGCCGCTGATGGAGCATGGGGGGCTGGCAGGAGCCTGGGTGGACCCCTGCCTTCACTGCCCACTGCCCTGAGGGGCAGGCAGCTGGTGGGAATGGGCAGGGATGCTATTTCTGTTGGCCAGGACGGTGGCTTTCCAGAAAGCTGGTGCCAGTTCTCTGGGTTGGTGGGTGTGGAGTGTCAGGCAGCGGGCAGGCACCGGCCAACGGGCAGCCTGGGCAGAGGTGCAGGCTGGATCCCATTGCCCCCCTTAGCCCCCCACCCCTCCCCAGGATTCGGAAATCCAAACTGCTCCGAGATGGACAAGCGTGTAGGTCCATGTGACACGAAGCCCCCAGTCACATCCACAGACGGGAGCCAGCCTCAGGGTATTTGGAATCTTAAGGATTCTCACTCAGTGTGGTCCTGATACATCCCACAGTGAGATGGTCAGTGTGTTTGAGGGAGGGGGGCTGCCCCAGCCCCGTGGGGGTGTTTGGCACTATACAGTGTATACATTTATTGTCTTTGAAAAATCTGAACTAGAAATGCATGAGCCCCGGGAGGTTCACAGAAGTAGCTGTGGATCTGTTGTCTCCTGCATTTTATAGAGAAGTGACCTGTGGTTGGGGGTCCATCCTGGGGGTTGGGATGCCTGCTCCTCACCAGACCAGGATCCGCAGCCTTGCTGACGGGGTGCAGGGTGGGGTCATTCACCACTAAGGAAGTACCTGCCCCCCCAGATCATTCTGTTCTGTTGGCCCATTTTCCCAGAGGCCTCCCGGGGAGGTTGGCCACCCCGCCCCTACCAGGCATTGCCCTCTGTCAGTGGTGGGGACACCACTGTCCACCCCAGGAGAGGCTGCCTTCTCATGCGACCCCTCCAGGGCCCTGGTCAGGCCCTCAGAAGCTTTGGTGATAGGGCTCCAGGACCAGACTCAGAGTCCAAGACCTGGACTCTGGTCCCAGTTTGGCAACTGACCAGCTGTGGGAACCAGGGTTGGGGCTTCACGGCCCGGGACCTCAGCTTGCTCACCCGGCATAGGGAATGATGATCCCTCAGCCCTGCCAAACTCATGGGGCCGTGTGTCGGGGGTCAGGTGTGGGGCAGTCAGGGCTCAGTGATGACCAGGGACAGAGCTCGGCATGACCAGGATAGGACTCAGTCTGTGAAGAGGATCGGGGTTCAGCATGTGGCCAAGACCAAGGCTCAGTGTGTGACCAGGATCAAGGCTCAGTGTGTGACTAGGGCTCATTCTCTGGTGGAGTCAGCAGTCAGGATACCCAGCCTGGGCACGCACCACCCTACCATCTGATCCTGGCACCTCTTAAGAAAAGACGGGAGGCCCTGGAAGACAGGTTCTCAGAGACCCTGCATCAGGGCTCAGGTACCGGACTGACCCCTCACCCTGCCCCCAGTGGGCAGGGGACCCCACAGCTCCCAAAGCTCAGACATCAATCAGAGTGTTTTCTCTGAAGAAATTGCCATGCGGACCCCACTGCCGGAAACAGAAAAGGGGCTGGCTTGGAGGCACTGGGGGAGGGGACTAGAGCCCTGCAGAGCCCCTTTGCAGCCTCCCCACCCCCACCAGCTGGCCAGGCAGCCCGTGGGACTGTGGTCTGTCCCTCCTGGGGAAGCTTCCCCCCAGGGGAGAGGGGGGGAGACCCTGCTGGTGGGGGGAGGTGGGCCAGGGAGGAGCAGGGCTCAGCAGGAGTCCCAGCTGATGGCCAGCTCTGGGTGGGGGGGCTGCTGTCCCCTGGGGCAGGGACAAAGGTGGGGGGCGGGCTCAAGGAGGTGCCATGTCTAGAAGCAGATGGCTACTCTGTGTCCTACCTGTGCGAGTCTGGGAAAGGGGCAGGCCAGGCACAGCCTGGGCAGGGAGGTAGGTCGGCTCTCTTAGGCCACAGAAAGGTCCCCTTGGTCCTGGCCACTGGCCAGCCCCTGCCTGCGCTGGGCACCTGTGTGTGCAGGCAGGTGGGCCATCAGGTAATTCAAAAACATTCTCCACAGGAGGAAGCTCTTAGAATCTTCCATTCTCTCAGCTAGGAAGCCTGTCCAGCATCTCCTCACTCAGGGTTCTGGATCCGGGGTCCTGGGTGGGTTTCAGTGGATCTGTGACCCTCCAGAATTTGTGCATGAGACTGTGTTTGCGTTGTGAGGGTCTGCCAGGGCCTTCGAGGATCTGAGGCCCTGTATAGGCTAGAGGCCTGGTGCGGTCCGGCCCCCTCCCTGCGGACGGCCAGGCCACCCCTGCTGTCACAGAGTTGTGGGGTCAGAGCCAGGACAGGCTGCTCCAGGGAGCCTCTCTGCCCCCATGCCCTCGGCCCTCCTTCTGGGGCCAATTTCTCTTTCTAGCCTGGTCCCCGGGAGGCTGGGGAGACTGGGATGGGGCCTCAGATGAGGTGATGGGGACATTTTAGGATGACAGATTCCGACTCAAATCGCAGTCCTGATGCCTCCTATCTGCTGGGAGTCACTCAGCCTCCCCTGCCTCAGGTTCCCCTCATCTGTATGATGGGGACGGTAACGCTTGGTGCTGCAGTGAGGAGGAGATGACAAAATAGATGTTTTGGGGTCCAGCTCATGGCCGTGTGGGGTCAAATGCATAGGTGTGTATCCGAGTCACCTGGGAGCTTGGATCAGATACAAATGCCTAGACCCTACAGAGGCAGATTCAAGAGGCTGGTTCCCAGGGTAAGAGCCTGGGAACCAGCATTCAACCAAAACCGCCCCAGGGATTCTGTAGGCAGGGGTGACTGTCACTGGGCCGACCTTGGTTCCTGCCCGCGAACTGGGATCCTGGTCAGAGTGGACACTGGGTTATCAGCCTGCTCAGCTCCCAGATTCCAACCTAGAACCTGGCTCACACGTAGTTATGGCCTGACATTAGTCTCAGGGCGGCATCATCTCCGTCCTCCGTCCTCCGTCCTCCGTCC